GTAATTTAATTTCACTTTAAATTTTAGATACTTGATACATGTTCCTTTGATGCCTTTCCTGCTAAGTTGAGATAAATGGTTAGTATCGGCACGATCATGCAAAAAAGATCTATAAGTTTTATTCTTTATTTTACATTCCTTAGGCTTTATTTACAAAAAATGTTCTAATACAGACAGGAAGATTAACATTCGTGCCTTTTTCATATCGTGTATTGGCTGACAAGTATTCCCCGATTTAGGAGGGTTTTTGTTTTTGTGAACAATGATCAAAAAGTAAGCAGATCTAAGAATTAGTTCTGTGCTCTCTCAGTAATTTAAAAAAAATATTTTGAAAATATCAAACTCCTTTATAAATATAGATAATACTTGCAAATTATGACAACCTTGTACAACTATGAGATCTACATTTATCAAAATTCAATGTTTTATGATAATCAACAAGTTGATAAATGGTTGGTTAAGATCATTTGAAGTTTGTGACGTTTTTTCCAGAACTTAAATTTTTTAGCATGGGCCTATGTTCATTGCTGTAATTTTAACTGTTTGTACATATTTTAAATCTTAATTGCAATCTAACTCGTTTTCATAATATCGTTTGATCTCAACTGAACACAGATTTCTCACGTAGTAAATCCATATGTATCAAATATATGTACTTTAATAACTGTGTTTAATGATTTATCTCAAGTACTTATAGAATTAAACAAAATCGCAATTATCACTCGTGAGCATATTTTAGCTTAGAAATAATCAAAAAATAAAACAAAATGTTTTGATAAACATGCATCGGTTAAAATCATGAAACAACCTAGATGTTGAAAAAATTTAGTATACAAAAAGAGATTATTTTTTTCTGTTACAAACGCTTTATAAGCGCTACAGTTAAAAGTGTAAATGGTACATAAAAGTAAATAAAAGAAATCATATACATGTAAACATGTTCAAATTACACTTTAAAGCATCAAAAATTAACAATTTCAAGTGTCAAATTTACGCTTCAATAGGTGTAAGGTACACTAGAAAATAAATCAAAAAGTGAGAAAGTTAAAGTTTAAAGTGAAATAATTGAGTTTTAAGGGAACAGTTTACATATATGTATTTAAGAGTGTGTGGTCAAAGTGGCAATATGGCACTTAAAGAAGTACGTGTACGCTTCCGTATTATCGTAGACGTACATTGTTGCATACAACCGAGTTCGTTATGTGGCACATTAACAAGTGAAACATGTACCTGTTGAAAAGAATCTCTCGCCACCCATAAGTACAACAACTTTAACATCAGGCATCTCGTCAATTAGCTGTAATGATTGAACAAGTCTCGCAGCCTGGTGTTTATCCATAGCTCCATTATAAAAGTCAAAGTGCACATAACAAATGGGCCCGTCGTGTACCACTTGAATATCATCATAAGCACATGGCTCATTTATCTCGGGTAAATAGATTTCTCTGTTCGCCTCGTGAAGTATATTCATTGACGGCAATTTGATAGTGTTAGTCTTCAATGCCTGAAAAAATATTAGTTTTATAGTTTCAGTATAAATTCGCTACATGATGAAGAATGCTTTAATGTAGCTATTACAGTAAACTAGACACTTTTAATTGGTATATCTCCAAACCATTATAATTACATTGTTTACATTTTATTGTTTATTAAAGACAAATATGTAATTATTTATCTTGTTATCAATATCTATCTCACCCAAAATTAATTATGAAAATAAAATGATAGTTTACAGTAAATTTCCGTCTTCATGTTTTTTGTTTTTTTTTGTTTTTTTTTTGTTCTTGTTTGCATTTCATCTAAAATTGTCATTAATATGTTTGTACATGCAAAAACATAATTCTTATGGGAAAACCCTGTTTCCTAATGTTTACTTTTTTCATTTGCCCGACCCATAAAGCGTTGTCGTCCCCAGCTTTAACCAACATTGCATTCTGTCTTTGTCCTATAAACTGTCCTGGCTGAGCCGCGGTTATCAAATTCTTTAATAATTCGCTTTCTCTTCCTTTTTTCAATATTGCATCAAACAGAGGGTAACATTTTCCCCCCCCAATTTGTCTAAATCAAACCAATTGCCCTGGTGATGTATCTGACATTGCGTTTTTTTGCTGAAACTTTTCCGCTGATTCCCCAATCTATGCGACGGTCGTCAGTTTCATTTTTTCTCGAAAAGCCAGGATTTCAGGAAAAAATATTGAGGATTGGGGTGCATCCCCAAAATTGAGACAAAGCTAGAATGCAACCGACTGAGCTCCGCAATCTCCCGTTATACAAAGACGATTTTGCTTCCTTTGGAACACTAAAAGTATCTGTATCCAAAATACCGCCATAAAAAACATTTGAGCCTTAACTCGGTAACTCCCCATTCATTTTTGCTTCAAACCCCCAAATCATAGAACAGCTCCGGGGTCCCCGGTATTCCAGGATGCATGATTAGACATGGCTTTTGTTTATAAATCGATTCCGGGATTCTTGCTTTTAGAAATGGACAAATGACAATATCTGGCTGAAATTTGTTGATTTCATCTTGCATTTCTTCATTATTCCTAACACTCACAGAACTGCAAGTTACCTGTAGCGGAAGTTAAAATGTTTGTTAAAGTATGATCATATACTGTGTATCCATACTGTTATGTTTCAGAGAATCTTGATAATGAAAATGTACGTTATGTTCATTAAAATCCGTCAATTGCATTTCCGACTAGCATGACAATCATATAATATAAGAATCCGCTTTTTCTGATCACGTTTGATTATTTTAATTCATTTACATGTTATGCTGTGCAAACAGATATAAAATACATCAAAACTATGACTGGCTTATTAAACATCTATCAGAGAGTCCACTTGAAATTCTTTAAATAATGATTTTCATATATGTAATTATTGTGCTCCTTTTGTTGTCTACCGAGTATTAACTTTCTATGTCATTTCAAAACATTTACAACCTCATACGATTTCATCGTTTCTTCTACTCTTCTCGTTAACGTATTAACAGCTCTGCTCATCAACAAGACCCGGACATGTTTTCGTATAGACATTCGGAATTGGCCCGGTTTCGGAAGCTAGAAATTATAAACAAACATTAAACTTTTGCAAGTACAGTTAAAACTCGCTAATGAGACCCCTGAATGGACTTCGCATATCTGCTCTTAATTATAGCGGGTTGGCCTCATCAATGAATTTGGTATGACAAAAAAGATGCTATTTATTAAAATATACTATTTTGATTGACATTGTCTGACATAAAATAGAGAAAAATAAAGAATGCCCAAAACGACAAGATAATAAATGTTTCAGTCTGGGGTTTGCTGCAAAAAAATAATAAAAAAAGTAAAAATAAACAAGGCAAAGGCAACGTTCACAAGACGCACACCCCCCCGACACACCCAAGTAGGGCACCCAGAAGGCGCCAAACCAAAACCACAAGTTTCGTCCACACTCCCTAGCACCGGCTTAAGCAGAAATTAACATATAAACATGAAAATTGTAAAATCTAAAATTTAGAAACATCATGATTCATTCGTGAAAAACATTTATAAAAACACCGGATAATTATTTATTATATTTTTGACCACCAAAAAGGACATCAGAATACTAGACTTGATTCTTTATAGAGTAAATCGTGAAAAGGCAACAATTACACAAATTATTAGAAATATTTTCTTTCTGATATAGCATCTTTTCCAGAGCAACATTTGTATAAAACATAATAATATGTATTAACGGTGTTTATGATGCAAATACCACTCTGTTAATCATCATTATCGTCGTCATCATCATCATCATCATCATCATCATCATCATCATCATCATCATCATAATTATTATTATTATTATTATTATTATTATTATTATTATTATTATTATTATTATTATTATAATACATATGATAGTCAAGATATTTCGTAGCAATATAAACTATCAATGAAAGGCATGTAAGAATGATAAAAGATTGTTTTAAGAAAATACAAGCCAAAGAAAAAGAAATAATTACATGAAAAACAATAAAAATCCACTATAAAATACATAATTTAACATAATTATATGAATATGTGTTTATTTAGACAAAGCCGATAACGCATTTTTAAAGAAAAAAACTTTCTAAAATAGAAAATAAATTGAATGTTTTGTTACATCACGTAATATTCTGTTTTCAAAGGTAATGAATCTACAATTTTGAAATCCTCACATAGAAATGACAAAGAAAGACGAGAGTGGTGGGGGAGGGCAGGGACGGACGGTTCAGACTGTTTCCTTTTTCCATGTTGTTTTAGCTAGTCATTACTACTAACAAGTGATAAGATTTATAATCGCATAGTAATATTTCTTTTCTCAAAAACGTTAACATTTTTCAACATAGATATTTAGTTTAAAGTATTTTGTTGCTTTTGACCTTTGATTTCACTCGCAAGACTAAATTTTGTTTCAATATATTCCAAAATGAATTCAAATAAAATACCAAAAAAGACCTCTCTGTTATAATGAGAAAATTTAAATACCTTGTTCATTATGCCGTTCATTTTAACATTGAAATCACAATAATTCACACATACACATGAATTTAATATTGTAATCATTCGTTTCACAACCTAACAAGTTATTACGCCAGTCTTTAATGAAATATAAAATTTAAATTCGAAATGTGTGTAATGCAAAAAATAATAACGTCAATATTATTTAGTATCATGTATGTTTCTAGAAAGTGTGAGATTTTGTTGAATTCAATACCATACGAAAAACATACTTTCGAAAAATATTCTGTTCTGTCAGCCGTTTACTCGACTACTTTTGAACCGCATTTAAAGTAAGATGAGATTGGGATGCTACAAAATGCATTTAATATCATGTCAGTGCATTTTCTTTTCTGTTTAAATGACTTGTAACACGTAAGTTAGAAATAACATTTACCATAATAAACTTGCGTGACGGCTACAACTACATTTTATTTCAAGTCTATTTTACCTAAATATTTTGACCTCATGACATCGCTAATGAAAAACATATACGTATGATTAATAATCATTTAAACTTTAGAAACAAGTATATTTGAAAAAAACAAATTACATCTTGCACCTATAAGTTGATAATGCCTTACAGTAAATGTTTGCTTTCATCTCGTAAATCCTTTTGATTTTTAAGTTTGTCATGTACCAATCATGGTATACATATTGTTTGAAGGTCACTGATGCTATAAGTATATTTAAACTTTTTAAAAATATATTTTGAATTAATATGTCATTTTTTTATAATTTGTGGCCAGTTTCGACGCCCTCCTGAGACTAAAAAATAAACTGATAGGAGTATAATCTAATGTAAACGTTAATTTACTGGATTACAGATTCAGTTAATTCCAAATCAAATACCTTTCAGTAAATACCGTTGTTTGTGAGTATTTGAGTATTCAAGTTTATACTTTTCTGCTTAGATGTAATAAATAATGTTTTAAAAAAGGATTTCCCAAAATAATCGAAGTAAGAACGAGTGCACAGTACAGGTAAATACCTTTGGTGTGCAGATCACTTAAGTACAGGCTCATAGATTATGGTTGATTTAATGGTATATGCAAAGGATAATTGATTTTGTCTAGCATCTTGAATAAAATGAAACATATCAACTGTCAGATTTTCAATATTACGTTTCAAACACGTGATGTTTCAATATAAATCATTATTTGATCTAGCCTTACCAGTTAAGCCTCGTTGTCAAGTCCAGGCTCATAATTGTTAACATCTAATGCATATCGTACCCCATAAAGCCCTGTTGTTACTTTCAGTATCCAAAAAAATCTTTATCTAGGCACCAGCCTTGTCCAATATAGGTTTTGTGGTTGTGTAAGAGTCCATGAAAATCAGTATTGTATTTAACAATGTATAAAGAATTCTTTATTTCATTCATCAGTTTTTAGGTCTAGACAAAAACTTTTTATTTGAGTATAATATAGAAATGATATGGATATTTGGACTCGGAAAAAGTAAAAGAGGCTAGACGGAGAACAATAAAGATTTAACAGGGTTTTCGGACTTGAAAAATAAAAATGAGACTATATTGAGTACAATAGTGATGCGATATAGGTTTCATGGACGCGAGAAATGAAAACTTGGCTATATTAGTAAGTTTTAATCCAACAATGATTTTTTGTTATAAAATTATAATTTAAATCCTTTTAAAGAGTTATGCTGATTTAACTTATCGATGGTTACATCTTAATGTAACCATAATTGCTAAATGGTATAAGAATTTTTGTACAGAAAATTTAATTAATCTTTTAAGTGATATATGGTGTACGTTTGTCTTGTTTTTGTATTGCAGGACAATAATTTGTGCATTTAATATATAGATAATGTATTATTGCTAATGCATTGCAGTTGCACTCCATTAAAAGTGCAAATAATTTACCGCCACATGATTATATAATAATTTTACGAGCCATATATATTTACAGCGTAACAATCAGTTGTGGTAAGAGATATTAAGGACACATATGAAAACGTGGTCTTATATTCATGCGTTGTGATTGTTTGACATAACAAAATTATATAGTACATAAGTTTGTTTTCCTTAAAGTACTTCACTTCAGTGTTGTTAATTTTTTCTGGTCCTTCGGGATCACTGATGCCAGCACTATTAAGTGTTGAGAATTGTGTACCGCTCAAGCCGTTGCTAGGGGGAGTGAGGGATGCTGCACGTATTCATTATCGTATTCATTAACCCTCATGTACAGACTCAATCAAACCGAGTTTGCAATTTTCATGTAATTTTACATTTCCCAGTCAGTCAAATTATGGCTAGCTTAGAACACGTTCCCTATCAAGGTTTGCGTTTGTTTCCGGCCGAAGCGGAAACACTGATCACCAATCTAAAGGTAAATCCATGTTCAATATGATTTCAGGATCAAGATGAGGATCAAAATAAGAAAAAACTCAAAAATTCTCTGAACAATATCTTCATAGATTTAATATCAAACTTTGGCTTGATAGGAAAGACTTGAAAATGCATTTTCATAATATATCAATTCTTCATTACTTTACAAGGTAATACAGTGTATTTATTTTGATCCTGAAATTCAGACTTATTTTAATCCGATAATTCTTAAACTTGAATACTGTTACCCAAGTTTATCCCAAGATAGGACCGTTTCTTTGCATTAAAGCATTTTTTTACATTTTGTTCATGTACTACATGACTGTATTATAAATTTGGCCTTATACAAACTATTTTAGTTATCATTTATTAATCAAAATACAATTAGGATCAAATGATCGTAATCGTTATTTATTAGTGTACCATTTATCTCTGTGTAACTGATAAGGAGAGATCACTGCGTAGGAGACTGCTGTAAGATATGAATAAAGTTGTCTCCCTTATAGTAACTGTCAGAACAGAATTTTACACTTTGTACGTTATTTCAAGAAAAAAAAACATGGAGGTGTCGATCACGTCTTAGTTATTCGTTCTTACACGTGCTAATAATCAAATTCAAGGGCAGATAAGTCAAAATTGAGAAGGTCGACGCTAATTTTCGTTCACAATAATTCTTTTATCTTACTATCTTAAAATCGTATAAAGTTTGAATGAGTACTATGAATTTTTTTTTTTATTTTGCCTGAAAACTGTATTAGAGAGTCCTTAAAATAAGGTAATAAACAAATCCGTTGGAACCGCTGTTCTATATATTATTTGAGGGGTCATATCATATCATATAGTTTTAAACGTTTATATAGATGTAAAGAACTTAGTCACATTTGTACCTCTAAATAGTTGCTTGGATTTGTATTCGGTTCTACATTACCGACTGAGACTAGCAAATAACGTTACAAAGCATAAATATATTGAAATGCTGCTATCGCGACCTTGAAGCATACATTTATACAAGACAGAAACGCTGCGCATGTCTGCTGACTTCATTGAAAGAGTAAAAATAGTTACAAAAGCATAATCATCTTAAAATCTGCTGTAAAAAGGTTTGTTGCTTCAAACTGATATTATAGTGTGCTGTTTCCATGTTCATTAATAAGGGTTTACGGAATATTGCCGGATAAAATGTGAAATTTAGTGTAATATCCTTGACTTTATATATCTAAAGCATTTTACAATATTCAGCAACAGCATAAACAGGTTAATTAGGTTTTGGCGTATGTACACATCATGTTTAGATAGAACGTCTGGGTTTGTTTTTGTTTGTGTGTTTTTATATAAAATCGGATACATTTCACTTACTTCATATTTACCTACTAGGTTGTGTTTTCTGAACCGATGGACGTGAGTGTGTACGTTTTTGAATGGAAATACACTTATATGTATATAGTTGAAAACTATTTGACCAAGGTCGTATATCTCGGGCCTGTTAACATTTGATAAGATGGCATTAGAACTATTCTCTCAAGGCGTGGGGGTAACGTGCAGCATGACCTGAATTAGAACCCGGGACCCTCGGACTACCGGTCTGTTGGTCTACCGACGGAGCTAGCCGGCCCCATACACATTCTCTCCCCTAATAATTGCACACTTCTACACTGTGACCAAAACTTTAATGACGTTTACATTTTCTGCTATATCATGCATTATATTTAAATAAATATTCAATATGTTTTCTTTGCGTCTACTATAACATTAATTTTATATTCTATACATTATATATTTTCAATTATACTTATGCTATCGGATTATATGCTTAAATTGAGTTGGGAAAATAACAGGCTGTTAGCCTGTCTGTAGAATTACTGTTGTGTTCTGTTCTATTACATGCATTGATATTGACTAGTAAGTAAAATTCTACAAAGAGTTTAAGCATCAGTAAGGTTTTGTGCATTATGCACTATTAATATATTGGTTATTTTTTCACTTTACGTTATTGTTTTATAGAGAACTGCCGAGGTTGTTACATTCTCCTCTAATTGTATGTAAACTGCTGGAATTATATATAATTATTACAGAGAATCAGATGATTGACTATAATTCCAGCACACTTATTGTCTGTTCGACAATCATACTAGTTACTTTATGTTTTAGTGCCTCAATATATATAAAACTTTACGTCAACAAAGTTTATTATATTCAGCCTTAATCACTTAATAATTTATATTAAATGCCGCAAATCCTTGACAATTTCCAAAACTTTTTACGGATTTTTTTAAAGATAAGGCAGATTTTCGATTGTTTTCAGATTCAGGTTCAGCTTAACAGTTGTTCAGACAGTGTTATCAACGATCATTGTTATCAACGATCACTGTTATCAACGATCAGTCAGTGAGAAAATACTTTTGGATTTAAGTTAACCATTAAATTAAGAACAGACAAGGAGAAATACAAACCTGATTCTAGACCAGTCAGTGAGATATCAAAACTGAAATTTAGGCCAGGAAGTGAAATATAACAACGGTAATAAGTATGGCAAACAGTGTGTCGTCTGCTGCAGAAACTAACAGACTACTAGAAGGAAATGAATCTGGAAATGAAACGCTGACCTTTAATATTGGAGGAGTTATATTCGAAACTTACAGGTACATTTATTTTGTGTCTTATAATGTGTACATGCAATATAAAATCATACAAACAATTACATTCCTTTTACCATTTACAATAATACATGTAATTGGGATTTGATAATGCTATAAAAAGATTTTAATAATTGTTTTTAATAAACATTGTATGGTGCCTACGAAATAGTGAAAATAGATCCGTTAAAGTCTCAAAATCAAGCATCGCATCCGCGGTTTATTTTGTACCCACATGTATATTTTTCACTTCGAAATTTAACCAATAATTATATATGAATAAAATTCCAATTTCCAATTTTATTGCATGAAACATTATACAATGTTTATAGCAAATAAACAATATAAACATATATACTTTTCCAATGGATAAGACATGAGGTGAGCAATTTACAAGATATATATTTTTTGAGGATGAACACATGATATTTTCAAACCTGTTTATAGAAGGCCAGTGACAATAATAACTTTTAAAATAAATTACTTCTAAGGGTTCTACATTTTGGACTAATGGGTGGATTGCTCATCACTGTAACTTCTAGTCAGTAATATGTATAATGTAATTCTACTTAGAATACTCCAACTGCTGTCATGAAATAAAAAAGAAATAATAAGATAGTAATGAATGTATTAATTAAACAAATCACCATGATTAACTAAGAAAGACAACCTATTATATCATTACAGATCTACAATAATGAGAATACAGAGCGGTCCTCTAACAGACGAAAGCTTTTTGGAGGTCAATCAAAGACCTGGGAAAAATGACTATTTCTTTGATAGAGACCCTGATGCTTTTAAGGTTGGAACATTAATTCATTTTTTTTTCTGTTGTATAAAAAAAGTAATGTATGAAAAGTAAATGTATTGTTTTAGAACGTTTTCATAGGTACATGTTTACGGTTTAACCGATAATGAGCAAGTAAATCACTTGATGGTAATCGTCTTTATGCTGGTAACTTTACCCGATAATGACCGAGTAAGGTCAATTGATGATAATCTTCAAAAGTTATGCTTGCGATTTTACCCGATAAAGACCGAGTAAGATCAATTAATGATGATCGTCTAAAGTTATCCGATAATGACCGAGTAAGATCAATTAATAATGATTGTCTAAAGTTGCAATTTTACCCGAAAATGACCCAGGAAGATCAATTGATGATACTCGTATAAAGTTATGCTTGCAATTTTCCCCGATAATTTTACCCGATAATGACCGAGGAAGATACTGAAAACGTGTCCCATTGATGGTGATTGTCTTTCTTAACGCTTTAGTATAGAAACGATTCTATGTGTGTTTTTGTTCTTATTATTAAAGTTAAGACATATTGATTGATGTGTCATTGTTTCAGATAGTGTTAAACTACTTACGAACTGGTAAGGTTTTCATCCCGTCGCACATCGATGGTCCGCTTGTTAGGAATGAACTACTGTTTTGGGGTTTGACGCCTGATTTGGAAGTGATGATCAGCGGAGACGTTTCAATGGTACTTATATTTATCCATACATCTGCTGGTTTAAGGCCCTTTATGCCTCAGAAATGCTTAAAGTTGTATTTCTCATAAGCCTTTTAGTTTGTTGTACTTAAAATATCTACTAAAATACTCATCTTATTGTACATATTAAATATTGTTTGGAAGTCAGTTTTATGAATAGTTTATGTAAAATACAAATAGGATGCTGTCATACAAGTATTTCAACATTCTGGTGTACTTGAGATGGAAATAGAAAAAAGGTTAGACTTTATCAGTGTTTACTAAAAACAAACACTGTCCATGGTATGGAAGTACAAAATGTAGATATCTGGATCTTCGGCTGAAGAAAGAAAAATAAAAAATAAATAAACGTATTCACTAATATAAAGCTGGATATTGTATAAAACGTGTATTAAGCGACCGGGCAAGGGAAACACCAAAAACGGTCGCTTAATGAAACGGTCTCTTAAGACAGTCAGCATGATATAAAAGTCAAAATTTATAAATGACATCTTTTTTATTCGATGGGATTGTTTTTCAACTTCATTTTTATATAAATGTTGAATAATAAGTACGCTCCGATAATCTAAACGGATGCAAATGTAAAAATAACGTTCTGATATTTATTGACAAAACAGTTTTGATCCATTACGTACATGTTTGACATTTTTTTTCCAGAATTTTTTAACTTCTCCGTTGTTTTTCCTTGTCTCCAACACGAAAACCCTATTAGTGAAGATGTTTTCTGTTGTGCATTTTTTCATTTGAAATAAACAAACTACATCTATTTGTTACGATTAATTTAATGGCTAATCAAGTTCAAGGTCAATTCAATGCAGTCTAAATGTCAACAAGCGAAGCGTATACACCATCTCAGTATGGGCGGAGCGTTGCATTGTTTATCCGATATTATTGGATAATACACGTCACGCGTATACTTAACTTCATTTGCATACGCTAAAACGGTATGGGAAATAGAGATTTTCACACGTTTATTGTTGTGTTTTGATTGCTGACACTTGTGACATAACGAGGTGGCGTTCTCTAAAAACACAATTACTTGACAGGTAAAAGTGGTCGTTGAATGAAAAGATTGATGTCAATTAGGTGACTAATTAGCGGTTGCTGGTCGCGTTGAGCAAAAGTCGCTTAATACATTAAAGAAATAGAGAGAAAATGATCGGGGGGAATTTAAAGTGGTCGTTTAAGACAAAAGTCGCTTAATACACGTGGTCGCATGGGCAAGTTAGACTGTACTTCTTTTGTTATGATTTAAATGAACATTTTACATTTATCTATGGGTTTTTCAGCCTCGTTCTACAATTGGACATTTAGCAAGTATGATTGAAAACAGAAATGTGTCTCCTCACATCCTCACACTGGAATGGGAAACAAAATCTGGAATATTCTTAGCAACCCGGAAACGTCAATGTGGGCGAAGATATATGCCGGAATATCATATCTTGTAATGTTCCTGTCGGTAGTAATTTTCGTTGCTGCAACAACGCCATATTTGCAAACATTTCAACTGTGGAAACCTGTACCACTGTGGACCGTGCCTAAGATAAAATCACTTAAGAATCGGTTGTACTTTTTAAGGCTACCATCGTATCTTGAGTATGCTGTTTCTTCTTTACTTTGGAATAAATTGGTACGTCAGATGTTATCAAAAAGAGGAAATCGTATTGTGCAACTGTAAAATGGTTCAATACTAAGCATGCATTATGCCTTAAAAAGGTAGGGTCATAAACTCCTTTAATATAACGTTAAGTAATTTTAATGAAAACAGCAGAAAAATTACCATGGCCCAAGATCTTACGAAGTTTGTAAATCACAGCCCCATAAAAATCAGGTTTGCTCATCCCTATTCGCAGAATTGTATCTAAATCAGAACACTATTGAATTTTGAAATTAAATAAAAAAAGGTGATTATCATTTAAATAAAATTTATTTTCAAAATTTATAATAGCTGTAGCCCTGTTTAAGAAACGTACTAGTTATTAGAATATTCCGTTCGTTAAAATCGTTAAGGTGGCTACAAATTCTAGCGAATCTATTAAACGGAGATACATTTACCCAGTAAGATATTGCTTGGGGCAAGTCTCCATCTAAATGTGGAAGTCTTTTAATTATATATATTTAAACTTAAATAGTAAATTAAATATTTATATTAATAAATATTAAGTATGTTTAAGAATAGATATTGACAAGATTTGGCAATTGAGTTAACATAATTTTATGATATTCATGACGTAAAAAGTAGTAAACGTAATATTTTACATATTAAGTTAAACTTAACTTGTTGTTAAGTCAAAATAGCAAGCGGAGAAAAAAAAACAATTTTCAAAACAAACCAATAAAATAATAAACATAACAAGCTTAATTTTAAACAAATATATATTACATTTATGAAATAAAAACTGAAATATGAGAATAGACATTTTAGAAAATCTGAATCATTTCCTAAAGGTAGTTTTGTACAAATTTCAAGTTTGAAAAAGGTAAAAAAAAAACAGCAGATGTACATGGTTTATTGAAGTTGTAGTTTAAATCATCAGAATTTCTTTGGTTTCTTGTAAGCAATTTTCTCATTCCAGATTAAATGATATTCAGGATGTGTAAATTAACTTACGAATGAACTAGAAATAAAAGGATGTCACTACCAAATATGTCAGGAAACCGAGTAGTAAGAATAAAATGTTATGACAGAACAGCATACATTGTATTTCACAAACATTTTTGCAACAATTAACTGTTTAAAATTAGAGGACAGATAGTTACTAGTAAAAAAGTGCTATTTTTAGTATTTACAAATAAGAGGCCAGATAAGTTCTAGTAAAAGAGTGCTATTTTAAGTATTCACAAGGCCTTAGTTTTAGTTGAAAAATAAAAGTTGAATTTGTTTTTACATAATCAAAATTATTAGTATCATTTAAATATCAGATATTAATCACAATTGCTACTGCCATCTGATTCTCGAAATCTATTGATGCATGAAGAATGAGTTATGGACCAAACAAGATTTTATAACTGCATGCCGTTGAACTCTCAATGTAACCTTGACCTTGGAACCAAGGATCTTGACCTTATGTTGACTCAACGCCATATCTTGCGTCATATTTGTACTAAGATTTCTTCAAAACCCTTGATGCATGACAGTATTTAGGGAAAGACAATAATTTCTAATTGCTGCCCTTTTACCTTTTAATCATGCCACTCACCTTCAAGCTAAGGGACCAAAACTTTGCACGGCTGTCTGATCATGTTAAACACTTGTGCCAAACGTTTCAAAATTCCTTGATACATGACAGAGGTTTGGGTCAGATAATATTTTCTGTTGATCTTGGATCTTTAATTGAAGCATTGACCTCCGAAGATCTGCCGTCTCATTATGCTAAACACTTCAACTTGGCTATTTTAAAATCCCTTAATGCTTGACAGAATTATTAACCTGACTTCATTTCTAACACTATATCCAATCCGTCGGACCTTGAACGTGGACCTAGAGCCTTCCTTTAGGGCATGATGCACCATCTCGCTATGTCAAATTTGTGCTATTATATGTATTTTTAAAATCCTTTGATGCATGACAAAGTTATGGGCTGGAAAAGATATACTGCTGACCTTTACCACTAACTGTAACATTGGCATTGGAGTCATTACAATATGCAATTATGCTTACATTTGTTTTTAAGTTATTTCAAAATACCTTGATGTATGACAGAGTTAAAGGTGCGGCAAGGTTTTCGTACACATATACACAAACACTTATGCACAGACATTGACATACCGATCGGGGTTACTCTATATGCCCCGTACCATTATTACAGCGCAGAGGAGGAAAATAGGCAACAAGTCAGGATCTTTCATACTTGGAGCTCCACATTTTAATCCAAAAACGAATAAAATTATGATAACTATTATAGTTAAATGCATTTTATAAGTGTAAGATGCCTTAATTTGGCTGATATTTTGCAGGTTATGTTGGAACAACGGTATGAATGACACTTTGAGACACCAGATTCTAGAGAGGTGAGAATAAAGGAAAGGTCACAACTGCATCTCCATTAAACTTAAAGTGAAAAAATTAAACTTACAACATAAGTTTTTAACAAAAGGTTTAATGTGTAGATATTAAGCAAACAAATGGTTTCATAAACCTTGATAACAAACATTTTTATTGTTATTTATTTATCCGAGGGCCTAGTTTTGTGTGGTTGTGATCATTAGTTGTCGGTCAATTTTCCAACTGTTCCAGGTTTAAGCCAAAAATATGATTCTATCAAAAATGTAACAATCAAACTTGAATGACCAGCTTGATGTTTGGAAGCAGAAAGAAGTCAAGTCAAAGTTTAAGGACAATTTTAACAGATGTTAATTTAGTATAGACGTTAATTTTGAATTTTGTACGCACATGAAATTAATTTAAGTGCGCATATTGAAAATGTAAAATCTTTATTTTATACGGTTTATAGGCTTACATTTTATTTATTCTTGATTTTATACGGTTTATAGGCTTACATTTTATTTATTAATTCCTGCTCATTCAGTGATATTTGTACGCCAGCCTAGGGGCGTATTTTTATTTTCGTACGGATTTAAATTAACACACAAAAACATGCATTCTTTACTGCTGTAAACTTTCGTACACGTTTTACCTTAATGGTATCGCCCTGTCTCTCAGTTTGTCTCTCAGTCTGTCTGTCTTACCGTCTCTAAAAAACTGTTCCTATGATCACTTGTAAAGAATATTTTTATTATCTCTGAAACGTAACACATTGCTATTTTACATAACTACTAAGAACACAAAATATCAAAGTTTATTTATCATGCAACAGCTATGGTAACCGCCCGAGAACACTTGCCTGATAATTATTTTTTATGTCAGGTCAGTAACATCAAAAATAAGCCCCGCCCATTTTAACGGACTTTTTCAATTGCTTATATTTTCATTTTTATCAGCATGTGAATTCTACAATTTTATCTCATACCTAACAAGTTTAAAATCAAGATTCGACATGTATTTATTATTTATTTTTCTATTTCAATCATAAATAAATTAGTTTGCGAATAGTTAAGCACCAACTAATTGAAGTGACATCAAGTTATTTATATAGCAAATGACATCATCAATGTTCACGTAATATTATACATGTAAACAAACTTGTAAATGTTTTTCTTATTTCGCCAGATTATTATTTAATAAGTGAACAAATTGTTTCTTTAAATAAATTAGTGTCCAACTTTATTTGTCATCCCATGAAAACGCTGTATTTCTTAAAAATTATGAGCGTTAATTTTCATAGAAGTACAAGTCGATACTATATCGAATTCCGTCCATAGTCGACTTCTATTTTTCATAGTACTTCATAGAATCGCATAGTGACGTAATAAAGTGAATGATAATGAGGACACTTAACATGTTAGTATTCATCCGTGCTGTTCTACAGTAATTAGAAACATTCTCCTGTCGCTATCGCTCCCGTCGAAGTTTCTTATTTCTGTAGAACAGCACGGATGAACACTAAAATATACATAGACGCATAATTGGCAAGCTTGTGTTTGATTGCCGATTTGACTTTCTATGATTGAAAGAAAAAATAGCCGCCATTTACAAATTCTAATTTTCATGGGAAGAGGAATTTGTTTCAAGAATTATTTCTGTACAGAAATGCCCATTTCTACGTAATTCGCTATTTAAAAGTAGATTATTTTGATAATTTGACAGATTTTAATGTGTTACATGATTAATATAAAAAAACATGCTACTGTCTTATGATATCAATTTTATCAGGCTCGGCTGCAATGGGCAGAAAAGACTCGGGAAGCCGCACCCCTTTCTAGCCCATATCAGCCTCGCCTGCTAAAATTGAAACAAAAGACAGTAGCATGTTCTTCTCCAACAATGGCATAAATCAGTAGTTATGGTCCTTCAGATGTTGCTGGTGTTCTAACCGGTAGGGGATTTTTGGTTTGATTGCAATACTATGATACTTGCTTATGGCATGTTAAACGTTGCAGTATTCAATAAATTTATTTTTTGGTCTACATCTAATATTTATATTGTATAACTATAATGTTATATGCTATACCATAATGTTTATTCTATCCTACAATCAAAAAATATTTGTGTGCGATAATTTTCTATATATATATATTCTATATTTGAAAATATATATTGTATAATTGAAAAAAATTGGTGGATACAGTACTGAAAAAAAACCACTTGTTCGATAGTTTGAATCATTGGATAGAACACTTAAGCCCCGCCTATAAAGTAAGCACGAATTTCTGATATTTAAAGCGTTATCATCCTGATAGACTATAGTGTAGTGGAAATGATCAGCGTCCCTTTGAATGTCACTTGTAAATAGTGCATATGCTTAATCCTACTTATAAATATAATATATATGTATGTCTTAAAATTGAAAAAGATTTTATACTCTTCGGGGCATACGAGGGATGATCAAAATAAAACCGGGCTGGGACTGGCAATTGAAGAATTTTCAAACTTTCACTTAATGTTA